ATAATTTTTCACTGCTCTAAGGGAGGGACAATGGCCATTTAGGCGTATTTTGAACTATTCGATTTTTCGGAGAAAAAAAGCGCGATAGCACTATTTGATATAATTTTCAAAAAAGGTGCACTACAAGGGTCCTTAAGAAAAAATGAAACGAATTACGAAATTTTGCAACTGTCAGCGGATTCTCAATATTTACAGCCAGTGGCTCTTAAATATGTACCCCACTTTGTTGAAAAACAACCATTACTTACTGAAAATTTAACAACATATTCCTCATATTTTAAAATAATTCTTGGTTCAATTAGCAATACTAAACTAAAAGTAAAAACAAACCAATATTTTGGTCTTCTTTTGCTGACGTTGGAAACCTAATAGCCAAGATTCAGAGAAAAAATTAGTGTAAAGTAATTGTGAACACTGCTCGCTATCCTTAGTGTAACTATGTTATATGTATCTTTTTCAAGGAAATGAAAAATAAAGTTAAACTTAGTCAAACATTATGCTTATGCCCCTTTGTTAACCTTCATGAAGATCAACTGTTGAAACTGTTTTTGTTTTAAATTTTAGCAAAAAGAGAATTATGAAAACTAACAAGGAAACAATTTTCTCCACCTCTGAACATAAATTAATTCAGTTCATCAAAATTAGCTAGAAAATTCTACCTTCACTTAGTATAATTTCAGAGCTGAACAAAGAGTTTCCAGCAATCTGATTGGTCAAGCGGTTCCTTATATGACCCTATATAAACTGCTCCACGTGGTTTATATAAAATGTTAAAATAAAATGTTAATAAATGTTACTAAAATGTTATGATTTTAGAAATTTCTCTGTTGTTCAGTTCTGAAATTACACTAAACAATTATTTGCATCAGGCTCGGTAAATATTGTCCAATAATCCCCTCGACTTCATCTTGGTGATTATTCGACGATATTCACCTCACCTTCAGCGAATAATTGTTAATTAGTAGCCCAAAAATTACCTGATCTCTCAAGTGTAACTTCTGCTACAATTTCATCATATTTACACTTACTGATTATAATCCTTACCAGCCAATAAACCCATGTTCTTGACAAAATTGATTCAATCTTTCTTCATCATAAGGATAGTCTTTCAAGTCACACTGCAATAAATGAAAATGAATGAAACCATTATTCCAGTTATTCCCCTTCACTTTCAATTAAATATTCATTGTAAATACTCTCATCTTTGAAACAGTTTACAATATTATAATGACTTTCAGAGAAAGTGTTTGACCATACTGGAATGCATAAATCTGCACATCTCTCTTTTTAAACAAATCACATCCAATGAAGAACAGGGAATCAAAACCAGAACTTTTCAGCCATCATGCTCTGAAAAATAACTTAATGGTAACTTCATAATAGCTATTGATAATATCAAATACATGATGTTTTTTTATTGGATTAAAGAGGGAACTAGACTGCTAAAATGAACATACATGTCATTCATGGTGCACAGTGAAACAAGAGCATACAGAATTTAATGATATGACTTCTACTTTGGAGTCATCATCAGCTATAAAATTGAACAGTCTACTCTTGAATTAATAAGTCACTTTGATTTTTATAAAAATTCCAAATCACCACTATTTATTTAAAGCTGCTTTCTTTATAACTTGCAAATCATGTTCCTTACTTTATTTGCCAATAAAAGAACTGGAATTGGTTTTTCATTGGTCAGCATAACTTTTTGATTTACATCCCAGTGCCACTGAAGTGGAAGAAAACAAGAACAAAAAGCATACTTAGTAATAAAAAATAAAATGTCAAAATAACTGTTATTATATTTAAATCAATTCATGGTTAAAAAAAAAGACATTAAAATAATGAATAATATATTAATTCACAAATTTACTGATATACCCAAAGCAAAATTTAAAAAACACATAAAAATTATGTACCTTAAGAACTGCATCAAACGTCAGTGGTCTGTTAAAACAAAGTGAAAAAAGCTTGAGTATTTTTACTTACTTTACTTTTCAAAGGTTTTTGGAATGAGCATTATTTAAAACTATTTTAAAGAAAGCAGCTTTGTGAAACAC